TTGGAAGGAAGCCTCCAAAGAGACAGAGTGTTCATGCTTGGCTATTATCACTAGTATAAGAAGCTTTGCTGGCTTTTTGTTGATTAGAGGACATGTCCACAGAGCTTTTCGGTTTGGTGTTGATGGCACATCGTTTGCATAAAATCAATTCGGTGTACGGGTGCATAGAGCAGGAACAGGAGGAACACAGAGGGGACAGGAGGAGGGAGGGTATATAACAGTTGAGAAGGCACACGAGGAGAAACTTTCCATGCGGAAGCGGAGGCCACTGAGTGGGGGCTGCCACAAAGGGGTGACACCCTGGAAGCTGGAAACCTGGTGACTCTCCTAACCTCTGGGGAATCAGAGCAAGGGTGACACAGGGAGGCGCAGGCGCCAGGGGCCCAGGAATCTCAGCTTAGCAAACACATCAGGAAGGCAGAGCCCGCGGGGTCAGCAGCCAGCGGAGGGATGTGATGGAAACTGACCAGAGGCCAAATTCCAGCCTCCAATCGCAACAATCTCTTTGGTGCTATCTTCTGAGGCAGGAGGCTTCCTGTGGAGGGGGTGGGAGGGGAGTGAGGTCGGAAGCGGTTCGGATGTATCCTCAGCCCCTGTGGGTGTGAGCAGGCCCCAGTCTCCAGGTGAGCCAGCCACGGCAGAGGCGGGTTTGCCTGGTATGATGGGTTTGAGGAGACTTTTAAGAGTTCTGGGGCCGGGCGGTGGTGGCGCACGCCTTTAATCCCAGCACTCGGGAGGCAGAGCCAAGCGGATCTCTGTGAGTTCGAGGCCAGCCTGGGCTACCGAGTGAGTTCCAGGAAAGGCACAAAGCTACACAGAGAAACCCTGTCTCGAAAAACCAAAAAAAAAAAAAAAAAAAAAAAAAAAAGAGTTCTGGGAACACCAAAGACTACACTGTGGCTCTTCTCAAACACTAGGCTGGATGCTATGGCCACTCTTGGGCCCAACGAAACTGATTCGTCCCTGAACCCACCAGGCAGGTCACCTGCCAGGTAACCCAGCTCTGGTGGCCAGTAAGGGAACTGAGGTAATGGCTACTGAGAAGGTTTCTAGGGAATGGTGGCGTTCTGGTATGAGGCCAACAGGGCATAGCTGGAGGATGAGTGGCGTTAGTTCCAAAGAGAAGAAATCCAGGCTCTTTCGTGCACCCCAGCACTTGACCACACTTCTCTTAAGGTGTCTAGTATGGGGGGCGGGGCGGGGGAGCGTCTCTGAACCTGTTTAAGCTTGTGCCCAATGTCTCTTTGTGCTCGCAAACACCCACAAGGCTGGTGCTGTCCGCTCACAGATTTTATCTTTTCCTTCACACGGTATCTATCCCTTCATGTGACATCTGTCTGTAAGCCAGGAGCCAAGACCTTCACAGCGTCCTGGCTGACAGTCCCTTGTATTCCTCGCTTCTTCTCAGTGTGGAACTGGCCTTCCTTCAGCTGTCAAAACCCTGCCTGCCTGAGCTCTCAAATGACACGTCCTCAACGTGGAAGACACCCAAGCCAAAGAAAGCCCGTCTTGTGCTGGAACCTCTGACCCACGAGTAGAAGGAGAACTCTGTGACAATGAGCGGCAGTAGCTCTCTTCCCAGTGACTTATGGGTGACCGCATTTGCCTAGGGCTGCGCTCGCACAAAGCTGCGCTCACAGCTGGCCTGCTCCCCGCTGCTGCCTGGTCTAGGCAGACACCCCTATGCTCGTCGGCTACACAAGGATGGTGGCTCATAAAAACCCCTTTGAGTTCCCACCCTGGGCCTGCGAGGTTTTCCCAGCTGATACATGGGATGGTTTTAATTTAATTCAGCATCTTCTTCTGCTAGGCTGGCGCCCACAGGCCGCACAGACTAACGCCGTTTTCCATGTCGCAGGAATGAGCTTTAGTGTCTCTCTTCCTCCCTCTCCTTTCTTTTCACTCATACATTTGATGCTTAGGAGAGATGCCTCAGATCTCAAGGAGAGAAACTTGATCAGATATTTAAACATCTCGATCAAGTTCCTGAATGCCTGGGACTGGTAACTCTGAACGATCCACAGGATTCTGCCAAAAAGTATAACCAGAAACACTTCTTGCACAATCTTATTTCCTCCCCATCTCCTTCATCCCTGATGTCCTGATTTTCTCATCTCAGGTAAAACAAACCAGCCTAAGGAACCTTCTTCCTTGGCTCTCCAGCATGGTAGTCTGGGTCACAGTGGGAACCCATACACAGACAGTTTCCATGGAAATGGTGAGACCAGCTTTAGGAAACTAAGATGGATGTTGGAAGTCCTACACGGCCCAGCCCTTTCTTTTGGACATACTCTCACAGGCAAAGAAAGCCACCAGGAGCCCATGTGAGTTCCCCAGCACAGGAATCAAGCAGGGCCCCGTTTCTAGTCCCAGGGGGAGGTTTCCCAGAGGCTGAAGTAAGGGAAGTCCTTGTCTCCTGTGCACTGGGGTTCAGGGGAATGTGGAATCCCATCTGATCCCAGACCCAGGGGAGTACTTCCTCTTTCTGGTTCCTGGGGACTCCTTACCTATGGGAACAGCTTCACACCTGTGTAGGGACAACCTGAAGGGGCTCTCTGCCTGCCTGAGCCCAGGTGAAACTGCTCATTGGTGGAGCGGGACACAGGGTAGCCTACCTCCATTTGTCCCCCACTCTTTCCCCTTTCCTTAGTATCTGGGTTCTGTCCGTTCTGTCCCAGATCCCCGGCCCACAGTCACCTCACACTGCTCTTCATGGCCCTCCTGTCATTCTGCTCTTGCCCTGGGGGTGGGGCAGCCACGGATCAAGGCGTGGTTCCTCTCGGAACGTCTTGTGATAGGACCCATGGAAGCCACGCAAGGACAAGAACACTGAGACCGCATCCCAGTCTAAAGACTGGAAACCCAGCACGGACGTCCTGGACTGATGGGGCTTTAAGAGCTGCTTTAGGAACTTGAATTCCTCACCACTGCTTAAAGCCCAGAGCCTCCCTCGGATTTGAGTAAAAAGTCCTAGGAAATGTCTGTGGTCACTTCTTTTCACCCCATCATCTACTAGACCCCAGGGAGAACCTAGTCTCAGTGGCTCCGTTCATGAAAACACCCTTTGTGAATTGCGGGTCGAGTTCTCCCTCTTTTTCCTCCTTCTAGGAGTTTCTCTGCAACACCAGCCTTTGCTCCCCTTCACAGGCCCAGGGGACTATGGACTCCTTTGGGGCCTCTTCACCATGCACTTGAGAGGCTGTGCCTGTTCCTCATCCTGCCTTTCTGGGTCTGGTGATCCTCCCTGAGTCTGGCTGGAAGTGGCTCACTGAGACTTAGTGTCTCAACATAAGTTCAAGCCATTTTTTTTTTTTTTTTGGTTTTTCGAGACAGGGTTTCTCTGTGTAGCTTTGCGCCTTTCCTGGAACTCACTTGGTAGTCCAGGCTGGCCTCGAACTCACAGAGATCCGCCTGGCTCTGCCTCCCGAGTGCTGGGATTAAAGGCGTGCGCCGCCGCCACCACCACCCGGCTAAGTTCAAGCCATTTTACGGATGGCAATGATGTCTGACTGGCCCCTGGTCCTCTCTGGGTTCTTGTTCACTGGGCCTGAACTGGTATAGTTCTGCTCCTCATTTCTCTAGGGATTAAGTTAGATTACATGGAAATTATAATTCACCCCTCAGGCTTGAGTCTTCGTTTCTTCTCAGCCTCTGGTGACCCGCTCCACACATTCTCTCAGGTATCCAGTTACTCTTTTCCTTTGGGACTACTTTTAGCGGCCCCTGGCGGAGCCGTCAGGTGGGCTGGCACATGCAGTGAGCTCTGTCAGCCCTAACAGCCAGAACCTCCAACCTTCCCTATCTACGAAACCCACAGCATGGGCTTGGCATGTGGTGGGCTGGGGTGGGGGGGCAAGCTGTGGTAAGATGGGATAAAGTGGAGGAGAGGTTCACAGTGAGAAGTGGACCCCAAACCTGGCCTGTCCCAAGCTGTGTGTCTCTCAAGAATCACACAGACCAAGGCAGAAAGCGAAGTAAGAATGGTAGCAAGCCTTAGCACTACGTCATAGCAGCCTGTCACTTTTGACCCTGTCTATGGTCTGGAGTATACGCATCACCTGGCAACCACCTTCCAGAATATTCTAAGATTAATTCCTCTCTGGGGACCCGCGGAACACTTGAGGGTCTTTTCTGTCCTTGTAGCTGGGGAAGACGGTCTCCTCTGACAGAACATGGTGACCCACGGCTGGTTGATGATCTCAGGTCTTCTTCCAGCCTCTCAGGACTAGGATCTTGTCTAAGAAAGCCTCCCGTTCAGCTCCCAGGTGCTTGAACCTGGCTGCCCAGATTCTCAGTCGGAAGGACTCACTACCTCGGGACATACTGGAACCAAGATACCTCTCCCTCGGGATTATGTTGCCTGCTCTTTGAACACTTCCATAGTAGGTCAGCCTGCAGGACATGGCCTGTGGTTCCCAGCCAAGCCTTTACTGTAGTCCTCTGTCCATCTTCTGAGTGTCACACCCCTTCGCTCTCTACCCCTCCCCTCTGCTTGGTCCTGCACATGGAGGGCAGCACATGCTATGCCTCGGAGCAGGTGGAGGGCAGGAACATATGAGAGATAGGACTGTGATGAACCCAGGACGTAGGCTACCCTCCCCGCGCGACTTTGGGTCAGCCTTTCTTGCAGCAGTCACCGAATCTCACTTCCCACTCGGCCACAGAAGGACCATAACAAGCATTTAAGCTAATATTTTCCTTTACATGGGTGCTTTCAAAGCACAACCCCATTTCTCTCTCAAAACACCCCATCATCTCTATGTCATGTGGAAAACTAGCATCATTATAACTGATCAAAATAAACAAACAAAGCTTGAGACAATGAGAGCAGGGGGCTGCAGGTGCCGTAGTTTTCACAGTCAATGTCTAGGGCCTCGGACTCTCTTTGGGGAGACCCCTCCCTGAGCTTTCAGCCATACCCCAGGCTGCTCTTGACCCACATGGACTGGTATACAAGTGCCGGCTGACCACGGAGGGGAAGGGCTGGGAGCCCCACTTACAATTCTTGGCTTGAAGGGGGGCTTGACTTTCTTCTGCTCCAGCAGGACCCAGTCAATCTCCTTGAAGAATGGGTGTTGCTTGATGGCGTCTTCCCCGTTCTGGGCTGCCACACAGCCCAGGCGCTTGTGGGGGTTCTTGGTCATGAACTGTGGGAGGAAGGCACGAAAGAATTACTGATGGAGGTTCCCGGGCATGGGTCATGAGGATCTGGGTTTGCACACTAGGGGCCTCACTCTCAGTGTGCTCTACTCTTGAATATGATGTAGCACGTGCCAGACAGCATTCTGAACATCGGACCGATATGGATTCATCTCCTCATGAGGTACTATGGCTATTTCTACTTTATAAGGGAGGAACTTAAGACACAGAGAGGTTAGTAAATTGGGCTAATGATGCACAGCTAGCAAGGTAGCAAGTTGAGATCAGGACCTAAGTCCTATTCTCGGATTGCATCAGATGCTCAAGTCTTTCAGCAGAGACTGAGATCTGGTAAGTCACTCACAGCAAGGAGGTAAGGAAAGATGACTAGGTATGCAAATGTATGCAAACATATGCAAATACAGGCAATGATCAAGGGTACCTCCCATCTCTTTCCTTTCCCAACCCTCCTCACGTGCTTTAGTTTGAATTTGCAATTGCCACACAAAAATGCCCATGTAGGGGCCAGCAAGATGGCCAGTGAATAAAGGTGCTTGCTTTTACCAAACCTGACAATCTGAGTTGGATCACTGGTGGACCCATGTGGTGTAGAGAGAAGCAAAGCCCGCAAATGGTTCTCTGACCTCTACATATACAGCATGGCGCACATGTACATGGGCCTGTACACACACACACACACACACACACACACACACACACACTTTTTAAAAATGCCCATGTAAGTTAAAGATAAAAATCATCACTTTTCAGTGTGCATAAGTAAGCGCACAGTGACAGGCTTCCATATTCTGCATGATGAGCTTATTTCTCCCAAACTAGTACATCCTGGGAATAAACATAACTTCAGCCAAATAGCTGAAAACCAGTATGAAATTCTTTCGTTGACAGGCACCAAAAATAAAGGTTGGGGTGTGTGTGTGTGTGTGTGTGAGTGTGAGTGTGTGAGTGTGTGTGTGTGTGTGTGTGTGTGTGTGTGTGTGTGTGTGTGTATGATGCGTGTGCTAGAGATCAAGAACAATGTTTTATAGGGCAAAGGTCAGTGACAGAAGAACCCGAGATGACAGACTATGGTGGAATTGCAAGGCTCACCAGCAAGAGAGAGCTTCTTAAATGGGAAAGGGCTAGGGCTAGAGGCTAGGGTCCTACCATGTCCCTCTGGTGACCTCGAACCCAAACCACATGGGCACACACTGAACTCTCTCAGATAGGAAGCCACAGAGAAGATGGGGAGAAGTGCTGAGAGGCCTCAACTCTGTGGAGGACTCATGGACTCTGTGGAGGACTCATGGACTCTGTGGAGGACTCATGAACTTCCTCTCCTTCACCTATGTGTCCAGAAAGTCACTCCTGCTCCCTCCGCTGTCCCACACTGGCCTATACTTTTGTTTGACACACCATGACATCTCAGCTGAGTCCTGCCTGCTCTCCAGTATCCCCCTGCAGTGCCTGAGCATTTCCTAAGACGCTACCAAGATGCCCATCCTTCTGCAGCTAGCCGGAGCACCACATTTCTTGTGGATCTAAATTATAAGCTGCCTAAAGGTCACTTTCCCTTAACGAGCTCTGTGACACATTCACCTAGTACACACTCCGTTCCCGCCTCCTACAGGGTGCTCAGTCAACTTTGAAGGTTGGGTAGGAGGCTGACGGCTGAGTCTTAGGGAATGGCGCAGGGTACAGGCCGTGTTAAGATGGCTACTTACTGTTGAACGGCTTGTTCTCCGCTTTGTGATACTAATGGCCTTCTCTAGATCCCGAACCACCTCCACATGGGTAACCTCCTTCAAAGACATAGCTCGAAGGACAGAGTCTTAGAAAATGTGGGCTAGAAACACTGAGTGACAATCTAAGGGGGTTGGGGTTCCCAAAGAAAAGTAGAGGACTCCTCTCTTTCATAGACTGCTCCACCTCCCTCTTCTGGCAGAGGAAAGATACACCTCAGGATGAGGCCCTGGGGTAACTCCTTGGGCCAGAGCTCTCCTGTCAGACATTAAGCAGTTAACACAGCATGACCTCAAACCCCTGAGTCTCTACAGGTCAAGGGTTTTCTTTTCTTTCTTTTTTTTTTTTCAAAATTTATTTTTTAACTTTTAAATTGTGTGTAGGTATATAAATTACATGTAGGTATATATGTGTGGGGATGTGCAGGTGTGAATGCAGCGTAGAAAGCTCAGAAGAAAGACTCAATCTCCTGGAGCTAGACTGGTGAACATCAACTGCACAACGTGGGTGCCCGGAATCAAACTGGGTCCTCTGTAATAGCAGTACGGGCTCTTAACCACCGAGCCACCTCTCCAGCCCCAAGTGTCAACAGTTTTCCTACTCAATGCTACTGACATTCTTGGCTGTGGGACTTTCCTGTGAACTGTAGGCTGTTCAGCAGCATCTCGGACACATCTCAGTCTGTCTTTACACATCAGCGCCCACCATGCTCCCCTGATTGTGTCAACTCCAGTATCTCCAGACATTGCTGGATATGTCTAGAGGGAGGGTGTCAAAACCATGGTGCTGTTTGGACCATCCATAGAGAGAGGGAGAGAGGAAGGGAGAGGGAGGGAGGGAGAGAGAGGGAGAGGGAGAGAGAGAGAGAGAGAGAGAGAGAGAGAGAGAGAGAGAGAGAGAGAGAGAGAGAAAATACACTTGGCTGCTATGTGGGCAGAGGACTCTCAGAAGAGAGTGTCTGCCAGGCACAGTCCTGCTCTCTCCAGGGCTGGAGATCAGCTGCCTGGGGCCAGGTGGGGATCTAAGAATTAGAACAGAAGACTCCCATCTCTACCCTAGCTAATCACTCCGGGATGGGCCTTGGTGGGGAACCCACTCAACAGCTGCCCCAAGGGCTCTTCTAAGTGCAGAGACAGGAAGACCTAGCATTCTGTGGAAGAAGCCATAGCCCCTTCTTCGAGAATGGGAAGATACATGTAGGGGCCTTCTAAGTTCTGTTCTGACAACGAAAGGTAAAGCAGTGAGAATCTGTGTCTATATCTTTCTGGTTTACACCTAGGGAAATTCTGGAAGGTTGTATAAAACTCTATTCCTGAGTCACCCACAAGGTACAGAGAGTAGGGAACAGGCGGATGGAAATGGGGACAAAATAAGGGCCACCGACAGCATCCCATGCTGCACTTTTGGCATTTTAAAGGACTCATTGTGTGTTTCAGTTATTCAAATAATTGAGAGCACAGGGCTGGGGAGGGACAGAGCAGAGACAGAGCCCAGGACTGGGTAGTGGCTTTATTCTACTCATAAAATAACCGAACAGGGGTCAGTGAGAACCCCAGCAAGGAAACATCAAGGGGATGGATCAAAGTGTGGTACCCAGGGGGGACCCTTATAGGCTTTGCTTTGGCCTACACCACCACCACCTTTCTTCTTCTTCTTCTTCTTCTTCTTCTTCTTCTTCTTCTTCTTCTTCTTCTTCTTCTTCTTCTTCTTCTTCTTCTTCTTCTTCTTCTTCTTTCTTCTTCTTTTTCTTTCTTCTTCTTTTTCTTTCTTCTTCTTCTTCTTCCTATTTCTCCTCCTCCCTCTCCTCCCTCCTTTTCTTCCTCCTCCTCCTCCTTCTTCTTTCTGAGACAAGGTTTCTCTATATAACAGTCCTGACTGTCCTGGAACTCACTCTGTAGACCAGGCTGACCTCGAACTCACAGAGATCTGCCTGCCTCCACCTCCCGAGTGCTGGGATTAAAGGCGTGCGCCACCACCACCCGGCTGCACATTCTTCTTAAGAGAAGGGGTTCAGATCAGTTCACATGGAGAGGGGTGCTACAAGCTGGCTTCTAGCTTCCTCTTGGAAAGGCAGGTCCGGTAAAGGAAGTCCTCGCTGCTAAGTACAGGCCTGTGCTCGGCTGGAGGCAGGGAGTGGACACTCCCCAGACAGGTGTGGCTCTCAAGCAAACTCCAAGTCACCTGCCACATCACCTTCTTGTATACCCAAGGCACTTCATCGTGTAAACTGGGGCAAAGAGAACAACACGGAGTTCTAGGAGCAGTCACCTTCCAGGTGGCAACAGACACTGCAGGCAGCACCTAGGATGCCCCAGGAGTTGCTTGCAGCTCCCAGGGGTGTCTGTGAGAGAAACTGACAACATCCCTGCCCTGCTGGAGGCTTTCCACTCTTGTGGGAGGAAACAGACTCCGGATGTATAATTTTTTTAATTAATTAATTTACTTCTGGGGTGGGGGGTGGTGAGTGCGGGCCCGTGAATGCTATGGTGTGCATGTGGAGGTCAGAGAACAACTTTCAGGAAGGAGTCAGCTCTTCCCTTCCACTGGGATGAAGCAGGATCTCTTGTTTGTGACATGCTGTGTGCTCCAGGCTGCAGCTTTCAGCTCACAGTGGCAATGTGGGGATGGTAGATTTGCATCACTGCATGGGGCTTTTTTACATGGCTTCCGTGGACTGAACTCACATCATCATCCTTGGACCCCAAGTGCTTTTACCTGCTAAATGCTCTCACTGATGCTGTGCGTTGTTTTTGAGACAAGGTCTCATGTAGTCCAGGCTGGCCTCCACCTCACTATGTAGCTGAAGAACGGCCTTGAATTCTTTCATTCTCCTCCCTCAACTTCCCCAGGGCAGGTATGACAAGCATGTGCTACTCTGACTAAATTATGCACTGCTGGGGGATTGAACCCAGGGCTTCATGCATGCTAGGCGAGCACTCTACAGCTGAGCCACATTCCCAAGTCCTCCACAGTTTATTGGAAGGCACAAAACGCTATGAGGATGAATGAAGGCGTTTTCAGGAAGTTTCCATTTTTTAAAGGTGTGAGGGTGGGGTAGAGCAAGCCTCCCACACAGCAGGGCACTTGTCCAGTGAGAGGCAGAAGAGGCAGCAAAGGGGACAGAGAAGAGAGGCTGCCCAGGGTAAATGCCACCGAGAAACCACAAAAGGGGCTTTAAGGAAGGGCTCAGCTAAGCAGCCAGTCTTCAAACATGGGAGCCATGGAAGGTAGAGGAACAGAGAGGAGTGAGGCGGGGGAAGGTGTGTGACTCCAGACTCCTGCAAAACGCTTGTAAGTCTAGACATGTCATGGCTTCTATTAGTGACGACCAGTGCTGCGAATTCCCTATCTGTCCTAGAGACAGCCAACCTTCTTCATCAAATCTAGAGAATAAAGTGAAGACCGTGAGTCCAGGGCCCACAGAACACGGCTGGTTTTGTGAACGTGGCTGTTCAACTTCTAAACTCTCAACTCTGGGGTGTTCTGAAGGGGAACAGAAGGCAGGACCGGAAGCCAAGGCTCCTGGGCTGTCACATGGCTCTGCCTTGGCTCAGTACTGTGATATTGGGCAAACTGACTGGTGAGCATATGCAGACACAGACACACCGACACAGACAGACACAGACAGACAGACAGACAGACACACACACACCCCAGAGGGGGCGGGAGAGGAAGAGGTGGGGAGAACACTTGTAGGGAGCAGAGCCACAGGTGAGAACAGTGGGTGACTCACAGCTTTCAGGATGCTGACGGCCTCCTTGCTGAGCCAGACAGGGTAGAGCACATCATCGTGAAGGATGGATTCAAACAAGTCGTCCTCATTGTCGGCTTCAAAGGGGGGCTGTCCAGCCATCATCTCATACATCAGCACCCCCAGGGCCCACCAATCCACCGAGGGACCGTACTCCAACTCCTGCAGGATCTGTTCAGGAAACAGGTAGTGTCAGTCAGGGTCATTTAAGAGCCTTACCCCAAGCAACACCCCTGCCACCAACTCTCACGGGAAGGTCTGCACCTCCGCATCCACACCTTCGCTTCCGACTTGTTCCACCATAGAGCAGAGCTGTGCTTTCTGAGAGGGAGGCCTACCTCAGCATCTCCAGGGAGGATTGAATGTGGGAAGCCAACAATCCCCTCTCCACAGTCAGCATCTACCATCTAACCTCTGGTGGAAACGAAAGTCAGTTCCTTTGTTTGAATGCCAGCTAAAGCTCCCGAGTTGCACTTAGGGCCACTTTCAAAAGGAGAGAACACAGTTTGACACTGAGCTCTGGGTTAGGGAGCAGGATGTGAACTTCAAAAGGCAATGCTGAGAGGGACATTCAGCAAGATCAGGTCCCCATTGTCACACACAGCTGGAGGGGAGGGCAGAGGCGGGTAGATGCTGACTGCCCAAATGGGAAGGAGTCCAGAATCTTTTTACTTTTTTTTTATTGTCCCTTGAGCTAGAGTCTTACTTTGTAGCCCTGGCTAGCCTGGAACTCACTCTGTACACCAGGCTGGCCTCAAACTCACAGAGATCTGCCTGCCTCTGCCTCTTGAGTGCTGGGATTAAAGGCGGGCACCACCATGCTTAGCTTGAACCAGAAAGCTGCTATTTCTTAAGTGGCGATAACACTAAGCTTATCGGAGCCTTGTACACCAGGGAAGGAAATAACAAAAAAGAAATCTCCTGCAGCCCACCCGTTCTACCCAGAAAGAACCACTAAGCTCTTGTCTAAGACCGTAAAGACCCGTTTCCATCATTTCTCCTGGTTCCCCGAGTCTCACCAATGAACTTCTCATTTAGTAGACCCTATAGATCCCAGGGCCTGTCCTTGGGCCAACCTCATGAACGAATGTTATCCCCATGGGCAAAGTCCACGTTCAATAAGTTCTATGACTGTCTTTGAATTTTATCTTTGACAATGGCCACCCAGCCTTAGCAATGCCCCCTCCTCCCAGCCACTGTTTATCTGGCCAAATGGGTAGAGTCAGAGAAGTCACTTAGGATGAACCCATGGAGGACATGCTAACCAGCTTTCTGGAGCAGTCCCAAATTAAACAGAAAGAATTCAGTAGATGCATCGAAGGACCCTGAGTCCACACATAGTCTAGGGATGAAGTCTTTGGGATGAAGATGACTGTGAGAAGCTGCAGCTACCTCAACAGTATTTTATCTGTTTCCTCAGCACGTAGAGTCTCTTGATTAAGTCATCAGGGCAGGCTATCTGTAAACTCAGAACTATAGGCTGCACTGGACCAGGGCCCCAGCCAAAGCGGGGTCTTCCCTCACCCTCCTAAGATCTAGTGGTCAGCCTGGCTTACCAAGTCTCAGTGGTGCCACTGGTTTCTTGTCCATCAAGGTCACACCTGTGCCATGTCTCCTCCAGAATGCCTTTTCAGATGTCCCTAGCATTCTCCTGTCCTCTCATATTCTAAGGCCTTGCCTGTTCCTAAGGTTTGTGGGCACTCCCCTTATAGTATTTCAGTTTTAGTCATTTTTTTTTCACAGCCAGCTTTCTCCCTGGAACATCTGGAAAGTACCAGAAAGTTATTCCCCACCATTTTCCAGAGTCTGCTCTTGTGGCCAGCCCATTCATACACTCAAGACACAGCTACCACTTCACACCTACACTCAAGACACATCTACCACTTCACACCTACACTCAAGACACAGCTACCACTTCACACCTACACTCAAGACACAGCTACCACTTCACACCTACACTCAAGACACAGCTACCACTTCACACCTACACTCAAGACACAGCTACCACTTCACACCTTCCACTGAGCCTGCTCCTATGGCCAGCCCATTCATACACTCAAGACACAGCTACCACTTCACACCTACACTCAAGACACAGCTACCACTTCACACCTACCACTGTACACTGTGTGCATCTTACCCAGTGTACCCTGTTAACTCTGAAACTCAGGGGCTCTAGCTGATAAAGTGACCACTTTAGCCATTTTGGGGTGGCTGGCTGGCTTCTGCACCTCTGTGGTTTGGTGGTTTGGCTATGCTCAGACTGGGCGATGCTGTGGAAATGGTAGGGTGGCCTTATTCAGCCTTCCCAGGTTCCCTTGGAGCCTTGTTTTTGGTAGAATCTTTTGCAAAACTCCTCTTAGGCTCAGCCCCAATTATCCTTGGCTTGATCATCTTGCCAGCAACAGAGCTGGGAAGGAGGCTAGAGCTTTGCACACCCACGGGAGGGTACCTGGTAAGGAAGCCAGCCCCTCGAGAGGGTCAAAGGTTAAGGCGAGAGAGAATAAGGCCTGATGGAACCAGATGGGATCCAGAGCTGACAGCCATTTCCTGAGGAGCAGGGGCCAGGTGTGGATAATGATGAGGGTTTGAAAGGTGCCAGAGGGGTGTGTGTTGGGGGTGTGGGGTGTGGGGAGAAAGGGTTTGGCAGAGCTGATCCCTTAGAAGGGAGTTCTGGTTTCAGAGCTAGCCTCTCCTACTTGAATAAAGGTGTATGCCTTCTGAAGCACTCCCACCTTTAATCCCATTAGAGTCTTAAAGCAGCCGGGTGAGATGGGCAAGGCAGGCATTAGGATTCCCATGGGAAAGACAGGAACCCAAGGTTTCAAAAGACTTCTCAAGGGTACGTGGGGACATCCTGGGCAGGTCTGGACTCAACTCTCTGGACTGTTTCTCATGCCCCATGATATAACCCAATGGTGAAGAGACCAAGGGAGGGTGCTACACTTGGCCAGGGAGCATAACTTCATTCCATCCTCCCACTAGCCCTTGTCAAGGCGGTCATACCTTCCTTTATCAGCTGTCATTTGCCTACCGGAAGACCAACATTTATGTGCTGTTTCCTATGCACTAACAATTCTGTACAATGGGCGCAAGGACAGAGTGGGCAGGAAGAGCTATGGAGTCTTGTGCTAAGCACACCCAAAAGTCCTGCTCGTGCACGACTTTACATGGAGGTTGACTGGCCTTCTCCTTCACTGTGAAGTATATCTTTTTCCTGGGCGGGATCCTTAACTATTGTCAACTCTTTGACCCTTGTGGCATTGGCTCACAGAGGAACAGGAATGGAAGCTTCTCAAGGCAAAGAATGAATGTAGAAGATGAGTTAGGGAGTCCCAGGGGAGACTCTCTCCTCACCTTTATTTCTCCTTGCTGCTATTCTTACTCAGGGAACACATTAACAGAGAGGCTGAAATCTCTGCTTTTAGAAGATCAAATCTCCTAGAAGCATCGAGATGCCGAACCCACAAGCCTCACTCCCGAGCTCTCCCTGGCCGTACTTGTGATGTCTGATCTGTGAACACATTGTTGACGGTCTGTCCCTTACCCTACCTGTTTATGTTCTTTGTTTTTTTTGCAGAAACTCTATCAATTCATACGGCATTGAGAATAAATTCTAAAACTAGAGGTTCAACACCAGCACAAGGAATCAAAGGCAGTGGCCGTTTTTCTTAAAGAAAAACCTCACCAGACATTCACTGGATGTATCGAGATGTAATCAAAGTATAAGTTGCTACATATATATATATAACCACAGGGTGAATCCTTTTTTGTACACTTAAAACATTTTTATATGAGTATTCGAAAGAGGAAGTATAAGAATTGCATATCAAAGACATATGGGTTCAAATTCCACGAGGCCATTAAAGCGGCTCCCACAACCCATGTGGATGCGTGAACCCTGCAGGTGTTCTATGTCCACAATTAGCGAGCGGGAGACTGTGAAGTGTTCTGGAAAGGCAGCGCTAACTCCAGGAGACACAGACAGGGAAACAATATCTAACAGTATCATTCTCAGGACCCAGAGAGAAATATGCCATGTAAACAGTTACATTCTCCAGCTGTCCCGTTCAAGTTCACTGAGATGGGAATCTTTTAAATATCTTGTGACACAGTGTCTCAGGAAGCTCAGGGTAGCCTCAGGCTTCCCATGCAGCTGAGGATGACCTTGAACCTCGGAGTCTCATGCTTCCACCTCCTGCGCGCAGGGACGGCTGTCTCGCACAGCACAGTCAGGATTGGTTTATGTGGTTGCTAGGCGTGCACTGTGAAGGATAGCTCAGCCTGTTGATGTGTACCTTGGTGGCCCACCTTCTTCCTGAGATGGATGTGAGGAAGTCTCTCCTCCAAGGGCACCCTTAGTTAGGAGGTTCATAGATCCTGTGGGATTGAGGTCATATTCTTGGCTCCTTTTATCCAATTTTGTTCATCATTACAAGCTCTAATAAGCCATTTGCTCTATCTATACTATTTTAAAATTTTTGTTATACTGATTAGAGCAGTGTGTGTGTGTGTGTGTGTGTGTGTGTGTGTGTGTGTGTGTGTGTGTGTAGAGGTCACACGTCATGGTGGAGGTCAGAGGATAATTTACAGTGGCTGCTTCTCCCAGTCTACCTTTCAGTGTGTTCTAGGGACTGAACTTGGACTACAAGTGATTTTTCTTGCTGAGTCACCTCACCAGCTCTCTAGTTATGCTACTTAAATCTCCTGAAAATGGTCAAGATGTTGTCATCCCTTGGCTTTTGCTCAGGCTGAATGTCGCATTCATTCATGCATGCATTCAAAAGACTATCGTTTAGAACCTGTGTGCAGGACCCTGAGAGTACCCGGACCCGGAGTGAAAACATAGGCCCTGCCTTGAGAGGATTCACAGCCTGGAGACGTGGCCCTTCCTTCTCTACATGGTTCCCACTCTGACCCTTCCTGCTGTTTCCATCAATGCTCTCCTCATCCCTATGGTTAAAGGAAACCTAAAATGTATTCTCTGCAAGTCAATTTCTCAATTTCAGATGCTCCATAAAGCCTTCTTGTATCCTCGAGGCGTTCTCTTGTTTTAGGTACCTTTGTTCTGATTACACATGTGTTGATTACACATGCGTCAGTCACTCTGTCTAGACTCTCCTTTAGAAGAGCAATCAGAGTCTCAGTCAACTCTCCATCCCCACATAGCCTTGTCTGGCAGATGCTCAAATAATGCCCAGTGGAAGGAAGCTTCCCCCACACAGAAAATGCTTAACGAGATTGGTACCTCTCTCCCATCTTAGGTGTCTCAAAACCATCAAATAGATTTAATTGTCTATGGGGCTATATGGCTAAGTATGAATCACCTCTGCTAAGTATCTCTCAGTTTGGGTCAGAGTGCTCTAGAAGGACACAAAGCAGTCACCTCATGGTGAGCACACTATTCCCTCAACTTTCACACGAGGTGCACACAAGGCAACCCCCTGGTGAGGCTCACAGTGGACATCTCTGACCTTTGCTCACACTGCCCTCTTGCTCCACACACGTACCTACTTGGTAGACTCGCTACCTCAGTGCAAACGGCAAAGCATTCCTGGCTTGGCTATGAATATTACACCCAGTGAAGCCACTTGCTGCCTTTTCAGTGAATTTCACTGTTCTGATTAGGAAGAAGTAAAAACTCTCTTGTAAGTCAACCAGCTTCTCTTAGTTCTCGCTCTGGTGGTAGTTCTGGACTAGGATGGATGCATGATGCTTAGCAAGGACTCATCCAAGCATGGGGACTAGCTTGTCATTCTCAATTCACCTATCTCGTCCTCGCTACATACCACCTCATCCTTCCAGAAAAATCACTAAACCAATTCCCTTCCTGTTTCTTACTCCTAGACTTTTTTGGAGTCTTCTCTTAGCACCCTTGGGCGACCCCCAGATGCATGGCATTGGATTGTTGCTTCAGCCCTGACACTGAGAGAGAAAAGCTAACTCCGCACACGAGGCTTACCTCGGGGGCTATATAGTCCGGAGTCCCACAGAAGGTGGTAGTTGTCACGCCGTTCAGAATCCCTTCCTTGCACATCCCAAAATCGGCCAGCTTGCAGTGACCTTCCGCATCTAGAAGGATGTTGTCCAGTTTCAAATCCCTGTAAGACAGGTCAAGGCCACATGGTTAGCCTCACACACACAACGGAGTCTTCTTGAGTTGGAGAGATGCACACACCCTAGGGAAATCGCCACTCAAGGGAGTCTTAGGGGAGGTTCTGACCTGCCTCAGACTAACCTTAGTCTAGGGGCATCTCCCAGTTAGTCAACCTTCAACAGTACTTACAACTCCTCCACAAAAGATAGATCCTCTATAGCCTCCTGGTTGCATTAAGGTTAAGACTCCTGTCATTTAGACCCTGCTGTGAGAAAGGAGTAGGACCCCTCTCCACATCCTTCACAAGTTAACTAGCTTGGGGAATACAGGGTGACATATACAATATCACTGAATCAGAGAAAACCACAAGAGTCTGAGCTGCTGGATTTCAGAGGGGGCAATGATGGGAGACTGGCATAGGCAATGAAAAGAGCCAGGCCAGCAGGCAGTGGTGCACGCCTTTAATCCCAGCACTTGGGAGGCAGAGCCAGGCGGGTTTCTGTGAGTTCAAGGCCAGCCTGGTTTACAGAGCGAGATCCAGGACAGGCACCAAAACTACACAGAGAAACCCTGTCTTAAAAAAAAAAAAAAAAAAAAAAAGAAAGAAAGAAAAAAAGAAAGAAAGAAAGGGAGGAAGGAAGGAAGGAAGGAAGGAAGGAAGGAAGGAAGGAAGGAAGGAAGGAAGAAAGAAAAGAACCAAGGAACAGTGGTCTTCAGGGGGTGGATGGAAGCTAGCTAGCATTTGGACAGACCACAAAGAGAGAAACCAAGGGAGGTAGAGGTAAATGTGGGGAGACCAGAGAGCAGGGTTCGTGAGAAGAACAAGATAAGACAGGTGTGTTAGAGCCAACCTCAGAGAGCCTGGGGTGTCAGAAAGAGGGATTTGAAATCCATGCTGAGGGGGATTGAGGCCTGCCTGCAGGAGCATAGTGCCTGAGCAAGACCAGTCCTCTGCGGGTTGCAGGCGAGGGAAATAACCTAGATCCAGATGTTTCTGTATAGGAGAGGTAAGAGTCATAGGAGCAGGCTGTCCTCAATCAGGATGTCTCCCTTGTGGCCCATTGTAACACTCCGGGGTTCTGAGATTTCTTATCTAAAACCGAGAGTCCTAGATAAGAATTTTCCCACCACCCCTGGTGTCGCGCCTCATAGAAGAATCTAAATATGCGGTTGGAGGTTCCCACTCTGTGTCTCTCTCAGCAGCTACTCTGGGCTGATGAGGTGGGCCATGAAAAGAAGGCCTCTTCCCCTACAAGCAGAGGTCAGGAAGGGCCATGCTCATGTGCCTGCTGGCATCTGAACTTGAGCTCCAGGCATCCCATGGGACCCAGACTGGAGTAGGGGTGGGGCAGGAAGTGCTTCTGGTCCTGCCTGTGTTGTTTCTGTGACCCCGTTTCTGCTTACAGCTGGGATTCCTTGAGAAAGTAGAAAGCACATAGAAAGTGCTTCTCTAAGCGAAAGCTCCCCAATTACTGAACAGTGAGCCTAACCAGCTGGGCCGCTGGGGCTGGGTCCTGACCCGGACCCTGGCACTGAGTGAGGGCTCAGCTCTGGCTGGGGTGGGAAGGCAGGGTTGAATGTCGGGCTGGGATCCAGGCAGCCAGGGTTTCATCACTGGCTGTGGCATAGCCCTGTTACAGTCCCCTTGCTGGACGGGTCCCCTATCTGTCCCGTTGGGACCACACACTGTTTGTATGCTTGTTTGAAGGACTAATGGGATGAAGTGTGTGACAGGTGAAAAGTTTTTATTTGATGAACTTCCTGCCTGGAGCATTCGAGTTGGAGGGACCGGGAAGGTCTTCCAGAAGTTTCATTATGTGGAATGTGGGGCCCCCGGAGGAGGCAAACATGCCTCCATGCTGTGGTACCCCCAGTTGCCTCTACAAGGTCTACCTGGATGCCACAAAGATCACGACAGCAAGGACTGTAAAACCAGTAAAAATAACGCTTCTGTTCGAGACTATGTTTACCCACCCACCTCTGGATTTCCAAGTCCAGCATTCTTGCTTGGAACACGAGTTCTGAAGAGCATGCTAAGCATTTTCTACCCTTGTAGAAGTACAAAACCAAAGGCGGGGCGGGGGGGGGGGGGGGGCGGCGGGTAAGTGATCTCTTTTAGGTGACCCGGGTCTCCCGCTCCAAAAGCTGCTCCCTTGGCTCTGTGCTACTCTCCTCTGGTCTTCCGGCCCTTTCAGGGCCAGCCACCACCTTAACTGGAAAACACCCCCCCGTCTTGCCCCCCCCCTGCCCCGTGCCTGCACTCAAAGCACCAGTTAAATAAAGCCTTTGTTGTGCTATAGAAGGGACTTATAATTCTTTTAACTACGCTTTTTTCATACAATATATTTTGATCATTTTTTTCCCTCCCTCGACCACTTCCACCTCCTTACCCACCCAACTGTACCATCTCTCACTTAAAAACAAAAACATGAAAATCCAAACCACCGAGCAAAACTACAGTAAGACAAAAAAACAAAACAAAACAAAAAACTAAAACAAAAAACAACAACGCACAAATAAAACAAAACAGAAATAGCATTAAATTCCTTTCATGTTGGCCAACTACTTCCGGGCACGGGGCCTGCCCTGGAGAAAGGTTGATATACCCAGCGACACTCGGGAGAGAAAACTGACTTTCCCTCTGCCGGGGGTATCCATTTCAGATAGCTTCTTGGTTGGGGGTGGGACCTTGAGTCCACTTCCTCCTCTCTGTGCTGGGACCTGTGCAGGTCCTGTGCATGCTGCCACAGTCTCTGTGACTCCATCTGGGCATCAGTCCTGATGTGTCCAGAAGACACTGTTATCTTGAAATAACCCATCACCTCCGGCTCTTACAATCTTTCCACCTTTTCCACTTGGAACCCTGAGGTCTGAGGGGTGGGGTGGGGGGCTGATGATAACATCTCACTTAGGACTGAGTGCTCCACCATCTCTTACTCTCTGAATATTGTCCAGTAGTGGGCCTCTGTGTTAATTCTTGTAGGCCTGGCTTTCCTGGAACTCCGAGATCCTCCTGCCTCTGCCCCTTGAGTGCTGGGATTGAAGGCGTGCGCCAATCACTGCCTGGCCTCTGCATTCATTCTTATCTGCAGGAAGCGAGGGAGGCGCTGGTCTACAGGCATAGCAGTGTGTCTGAAGGTTCCAAGCCAGCCTGAGTCTGGCTCTGATGTGCCTCAGGTTGCCATGTGGAACAATTTAGGTACCCACCAGGCCCCACCCTCCTCTCACGGATTTCCGGCTAGTTAGGGGCAGCCCCTCGTTTCTTCCCCGAAACCTGCTTTCCTTTCTCTAGTCCACTCCTCGCTGGCCTCTGCTTCCGGCCCTCTCTTCTCCCTGGGGAAGAAGTTGACCCAGCTGCTGTCGGATATGAGCAAGTCTTATGGGCGCCCTTGGCTATGACCTGAATTGGCCCTAGCCAAAACACTCCCACCCTGTAGCGACTGATGTTATGCATCCTACCTCTGGCCACTTCCTCCTACTCCTGTTCAGACATTTGAGTTTTTGAAGACTCTTGGTGACTTCTAGTCTTTCCTCTTGGGACAGAAGGTTTAGAAGACCCCCGGGAACCAGGCTGGCTGCTAACAGAACACCATTCCTCTGGAGGTCTTCAGTCTCATCACAAAGTGTTCATCCCTCTGGGGAAAGCTTGTCTGGTGCGGGGTTGTCAGGGGAAGCAGTGTGTGTGTGTGTGTGTGTGTGTGTGTGTGTGTGTGTGTGTGTGTGTGTGTGTTGGGGGTGGGGCTTTAGCAGATGGGATCCCCAGGGAAGCCAGGCCATGCCAGCTAAGGGAGGAAAGAAGATGTCCTTCCCCATGAGGAGGAAGGGAGATGGATGCTGGAAGGGAGCAGTGGAGGACAACATGGTCCCTGTTTCTTCCCTTCTCCTCTCCAGCAATGGCCGCCTCAGTGACTACTTTCTACTTCCCCAATCCTGCCCAGGAGCCTCTCACCTGCAGTTTTTAGTGCCGCTGACCCAACAGGAGTGGGAGGCCTCTCTAAGAGGAAGGATTGGGAAGAGTGGTGCCTAGCTCTGCCTTCTCAGAGGTCCAGCTGGAGGGCAGGGGAGGGGTTGGGGAGGCAATGGGGAGTCTTTCCTCCTGGAGAACTCCCAGGCACTCAGTACCTAGCCTAACATGGAGCAAGTGTTTAGCAAACATGACTGATAGCTTTGCAGAAAGACAGTTGCCCAGGTACTGACCCCATCTTAGTCCCCAAACACAAGGGCACATCCATAGTCTGGGACTTTTTCATTGGTCTTTTTTTTATTTTTAAAGGATTAAAGTCATTGTTTTAGAATAAAACATTTAGTACCACCCCTTTCCCTACAGATGAACCAATATGATAATCTTTACTTACTCAGTTTATTGCTAATCTAATTCATTTCATGTTTGCCTTTTTAGTAGATCATATACCATGTGTTCCAAAAAACAGAAACCTGAAATGTGATAGGGCAGACAGAAATAGTCCCTCTTTGGGCACAGACTCCCCAGTCACCCTTTCCTTCCTGACAGGTAATTAGTTTGTGTTCATTTCCTTCATACCCTGTTGGTCATGCTTTATACATAAATAAGAAAGTGTGAATACACGTTCATTTTGACCACTTTGAACAAAAGGGGCACTTTCCCAAAGAATATCTTCTTTAACTTGGCATGTACTAGAGATCTTTCCATTGGACTCATTAGAAAGCTTCTTCATTCTTTGTTTATGGCAGTATAGTGTTCTATCGTTTTTATCGAGGGACATTTAAGACACACCTAACATTATGCTAGTGCCCACAGTGTTGTTGGGAACAGTCTCATGCATGTGACATTTTACATCTATGTCAAGGAACTGTATGCACTTCCTAGGTGTTTCTCAATTTGAAGCAAGAATGTGGGTTTGGGCTGATATCACCAAGCTGCCCCATTAGAGGCCAAAACATCTAACCTCACATTGGCAATAGACGACAGTGCTTACCTCTCGACATTCTTACCAACTGTGCTTTGCTACCAAGCTGCAGTAGCAT